TATAAAAATAAATAAGTATATTAAGTGTATGAAGAGCCTACTCTAGTTATAGAAAAGCATTCCCATTTTTCAAGATACAAGTAGTTGTTGAAACTTAGCACTTCATTATTTTTTTAGCAGTGACACAGGAAGGCACTTTAGGATTTACTAAGAAATGAATTTATGTATATTTCAGTTCTGTATTGCCAACCTAAAGGCTTGAAGTTGGTTCCATGTTTTGTGGGCTCTTGAACTCAGTGAGTCAACAACAGGATTAATTATCCCTCTGTCCTCTTCCCCAGCCTATTCATCCTCCTGTGCCCTATCCCACTAAATGATACTACTGTCTCTGTTTTCCAGATGCAATGACTCAATGTCCTCTCACACCGTGAGCAAGCTCTGATGCTTCGGTATCCTCAGAGAACTCTTGGCACTGACCTGCTCCCCTTTCATGGATTGCTGCTCCAGTATGGTAAACCAGTTGTCTTACACAGATGACATCAAAAGTCTCCAATTCTGCTTCTATCTATTTATTTAACCCTCTAATCTGTAACCTCCATTTCAGTCTGAGTGACCGTTCACAGAATGCAAACTGATCCTCTACCCTAAGGAATGATGCCCCCCCAAACAGGGCTGGCACCTTCCATGTCAGCTGACTTAATGAAAACAGTCTCACCTCAGACAGGCTCACAGGCCAACCCAGTATAGACAATCTCTTCAGTGACACTCTCTTCCCAGGCTCTTCTACATTATATCAAGTTGACTAATTATTCTGTGATCCATCAACTCTCTTTCTGTATTTGACTGAATGAAGTTTTCTATCTGCAATCCCCTGCAAGCTTCCTATGTGAAAATACATCTTGATTTCAAAATGTACTGTTATCAGCTTCTTTTATGAACCTAAATCTTTGTCCCTCACATCTATATGATGCAGCATTTCACAAGCTATGTTACTTTGCATTTGATGAGTACAGTGTATTTTAACTTTGCACTGCCTATTTCTGTATATGGCCAATATATAGTAAAGTTCTCCCTTAGAAAATGTCAGTACATAGTTATTTGTGAATAAATACAAGAGCGAGGTACTTGTGAATAGCACTAACTTTGGAAAGTGATGCCATTCATTTTAGATCTTCAGTCTAAGATGTGTTGTATGATCTTGGACAAAGTTCCTAATTTTTCAATGGTTACTTTTCTTCCATGTCAGTTGTAAGGAGCTTTGATGTGCATTGCTTTTGAATGAATGGCACAGACAAAGCCTGCCTACAAACTATTGTTAGGTGGGTGCATATGGGAAAAAACAATCAGAAGGGGCCTGCTTCTCTGGGTATGGATGGGCACTCCATGGCTGTGATCTAGGAAGGTGACCTTGCCCTCACCCCAAATACTACTGTTTCCTGTTTATAGATGATTCAAAAGATGCCCTTATATGCTTAGAGAAGATTCATCCTGATCTTTTCTACACTACTTTAAGGGGTTGCAAAAAAACCAAAAAAAACAAAACAAAACAAAACATAGAACTGTGAGCTTATGCTAAAAAATATTCAGACCTCTTCATTCATAAACAGCGAAAGCTAATGGTTCCAGCTATTTCTATGCCCAGTGACTGAAAGCAAGTCTATGGCTCATTAGGTAGAAATTCTGAATGTCTCCTTTTATTTCTGCATAAAACAGTGATATTCATGTACCTACTCCTCTGTGCTATTCAAACTAAATGAGAAAAGACCCACAAATAATTCCTTTTGGCTCATAATAGCTGTTGAATACTTGTTGGCCTTATGGTATCGTGTGTAATCAATTAATACTCATGCAAGGATGATGGCATAAGTAGTTGGAAACTATGACTATGAGGACTATTCAATATAAGGATTAAAGTCAGTATGATCTAGCCCATTCCTCCAAGTTGCTTACCTCCAAGCCAATTTGAAGCTGTTTTCTGGCTCTCTGTGAGAATATCTTTCCATTAAACTTATTACTTTGTCTCTCTTAATAATTTAAAACTACACATCTATCATTTTACATCAGCTCCTGTCATAACATTTTACTCTATGTATTTGAGTTTCAAATCTACTACTGCTTAAGTCATGGGTCAGTGAGAAAGGGAGAGTGATTGGCAGGTAGAGAATATGCTTATCCTCAAAACAGTAAATGGAATCACACAAAAAATGAATGTTCCAAAAAGTTATAGGCTTAGGATATTGGGGAGATACTTAGGTCATCACATGGTATCAGAGAAAGCGCAAAGAAACCTTAACCTCAGCAGGCACTACCCTGTGGGTATTATAAATCATAATTAGGTTTCAGCAAAACAGCATAGAATTTACAGTCAAAATTCAAAAGCTGCCCAGTAGTAAAAATGGGCAGATTGTTTCATTTTCCCAAGACTCAGTTTACCCTGGGAAACATAAGAATTAAATTAGAGTGTGTCTAAAAGTGATCTATGTCACAGTGTATCCACAGCCAATATCAGCTCTTACCCTGCTGTGATAAATGTTTTATAGAATGAGTGCTCCATGGAGAATACAACTGTCAATACAAAGCAGTCTGTTATTTGTGCTGTTCATTGTCCACCATGCATGCGTGACTTCGGCTAACCTCCAGGATCTAAAGACATAGGCTGGAGATATAGACCCCATGGTAGAGCACTTCTCTAGCACATAGCAGGTGCTAGAGTCAATCCCCAGAAATTCAATGACAATAATATCTAATATTATTGCTACTAATAGTAATAATAATAATAATAATAATAATAACATGTTAGTTATAAAGAGTCTTTCTGTCCGAGTTCTAGCTTTCAGAACTTGATTAGGGTAGTCTATCTTTTAAAGGGTGATTTGTTTCCAGGTCTGAAAATTTTGAAATGAGAAACACACATACCCAGAGCAGCTAAGCTGCACTCTGGATGCCAAGAAAGCCAGCAGTCCAGCTGGGCAGATGGTGAGAAGGAAGCTACCCTGGAACTCATCTCTGCGATCCAGCAGCTGGAGGGAGCAGGAGCACAAGTCCTGGGCTCCGGGAGACTTGGCTGTAAGCCCAGCTCTGCCATTTCCTGTCTGTGCAGCCTGAGCAACTCAACCATCCCAAGATTTGGTTCTCTTTTGTGAAATGGAAAATGGAAGAGTTATCTTGTCTTCGTTACCTGGATTCCTTTGAGACATCATACACGTCTTTGTACAATGTCCATAAGAAGCACTCAAGGAAGTGGATAACTCAGTTCAGATTTCCACCACCTACACAAAAAGCCAGCCACAGTGGTACATGCCTGTTTTCCCAACATTGGAAAGACAGACATGGAAGGATCCCTGTGGGCCTCCTGGAAAGACAGTCTAGTGGAATCAGTGAATTCCAGGTTCAATGAAAGACGAGCCTCAAAAACAGCAATTGAGGAAGACCCTTGATACCAACCTCTGTTCTCCACACATAAGGGTACAGGCACCCACATATACATAAGCATGCACAAAACACATACACATGTAACACATACACAAGAACAGCACAGTGCACATGGTAAGCTCTCAGGCACATTTTTCTATTTTTAGAATTCGGAATATCAGTGCTATTAATATTGGCATTGGTTCAGTTGCTAATTGAATTACTATTATATAAAAGATCATCATAATTGTTCAAGGAGCCTAAAGGGGGAAAATGTTGATTGATGATGGCATTGGGTACCAGGAACATCATTAAAATATGCCGGGTGCTCCAAGCTGTCTATGCAATAGACAAGCATGTCTTGGCCAGACATGGTGGTTGAAACTTTATCAGTGGTCTGGAGAGATGGCCTACTAATTAAGAACACAAAAATGCCCTTCCAGAGGACCCTAGTTCCGTTCCCAGAACCCACATTCATCACTCCACAACTACCTGTAACTCAAGCACCAAGGGATCTGATGCCCTCTTCTGACTTCCATGGGCATCTGCACATCTGCACACATGTGCAAATACCCACACATAGACCCACAATTAAAATTTTAAAAGTCTTTAAAGACTTCTTCAAGTCACCCGACATCTTTATAACATTTGTTTTTTCTCTTCCGTTCATATCAGGAAGCATAACCCAGCCAGGATAATCTCCTGAAGCCAGAGAATACGTGTGAAATAAGGGAGCTTTAATGGCTAAAAAGTAAGTAACTTTTCACTAGAGGGATTACGATGTAGTTAAACTGAATAGTCCTGAGCTTTAATGATGGAGTTCCCTGAGTGTTAACATCAGACACTGGGTCATAGCTTGAATCTCCCCAAACCTCAGGCTGTTTGTCTGATTACTGTTGATCGTGTTCATCAAATTACCCTCTCTAACAACAGAGCCCCCCACAGGATAGTGTGGCTTGAGGTGGACTATCGATAACTCTTAGGTCCCTTCTCCACAAAGAAAAACAAAAAGAAAACATGTAATAAAAGGGGATGACTAAGTGAAATCTGTGGTTTCTGCCTGTTTTTTTTTTTTTTTTTTATGTGAAGACATTTCAAACATATTTTATATTCTGGCCAAGGTCTTCGCTGTTTCTTTTAATTTATGCTGAGGGCATGGCACATTTAAAAATGAATTCCTTTGGCACATTATTTTTAGGATAGAGAGAAAAATACTTGGCTTACATAACAGCTGGCTGGTCATACTAAATGGACTGTTGTCTCTTTTCTAAAAGTCAGGGTACCAACATAAGGCTTCAAGTATAACCCACTAGGAGAGATGCAATATTCAAATACTCACACCTACTTAATAATGGTAGTGCTGCATCGTCACACACACATACACACACACACACACACACACACACACACACACAGGATGAGGTTGGGGAGAAACAAAGCATACATGCTTCTTCCCTGAATTCAAATGTAAAAGTTGAGTGTTCCAGTAAATATTAACACACGTGGTCACAAGAGCGGCCTTCAGCAAAATCGTTCCTGTCTGATGTCTTTCTTCATACCTACAAAGCTTATTTCAGTGTGCAGTTTGGCTTTCCAAGGAGTCTCCTTTGATTATCTACTGCAGTGTGTTGGGTAAACAAAACACTTACGGTATGCACACCCGAACACCTCAATTCGCATTCCAATTCTGCCCTTGGGGTTCCATTCTAGAGGGATGAAGCGCAGAAACCTGGCTTTGATTGAAGGCTGGAGTCTAGAATACACAACGCTGTCTGCGTTTGCATTTCCAGAAAAGCCCTGGAAGAAAAGGGAAAGAAGGAGCTCACAGTATCTGCAGACTGTCAGTGCAAAGCTAGCCTTTCCTTTTCTCCCTGTGGAAAGTGCCACTTGCTTTAAGGAAATCAGATGAACAGTTTGTCGCTCCATCCACAGTCCGTGCCTGGTACCTACCCTCCTTTGTATTAAGAGGAGCTTTAAATTGCATCACACCCATTAAACCAGCTCTCAGCCAAGATGCCCTCAATAAAAATTGCTTCTGCAAAACACAGATTAAATGTGAAAGCGTGCGTGCCGGTGGCTGCCAGCACTGCGGACAGCATGAGAAGCCGAGAAAATAATCTCTCAGTATTGAGAAACTATTACCTGATTCAGCAAAGAAATTGCTCACCTGTTTCAGCGATTGCGCTTTCTCAGCTCCCTCATTAGCATAAACAAAAGCCTCACCCAAGTAGGAACCACACTCTGTTATAACAGTCACTAAGCTTCCTCAGCACACTGCCTCCTACATGTCCAGAGCTGTAGAGGGAAACTGGAAGCAGTAGGAACTTGGAAAGACCTGTGATTAGAGTTACAGAGGCTGGCCCTGGAAAACGAGAGAGACCTTTGGGATAATGCTAAGCCAGCACAGTCAAATTGCAGATGAGGAAATTAAAGGTCAGAAAGGTGCAAAAAAAAAAAAAAAAATCTGTGGTGTCTGCAAAACCATTACACTGAGTAAGCCTGCACTGGTTCCTTCCAAAGTATTAGGACACATTAGCTGGTGTATAGCTTGCTTGTCTGCAAACTTCTACAGAACTCAATACCCTAGCCACTTAAAACAGTTTAAGAGATTTACTTACTTCTATTTTCTGTGTCTGAGTATCTGCATGTATGTATGCAAACCATGTATATGTCTGGTGCCTGGGCAGGGCAGGAGAGGGCACCAGACCCTCTGAAACTGGAATTAGCATTGTGAGACTCCCTATGGATGCTGGGAACCATGGATGGGATGTCTACAAGAGCAGCAAAGGCTCTGAAGCACCGAGTTGCACCCCTAGGCCAGAGCCATTCCATCTTCTCTAGCATGGGACTCCACATATGAAGACATCAGCATGAAACAACGATGCCTCCCGTCATTTATATTTCAGCTTTATTTCTCCTCTGCCTGTCTGCTCCAGTTCTTCTTCCTGTTTCTTCCTCTTATTTTTTTTTTTAACACTGTCACAATTTGTGCATGAAGGAACGACATAGGAATGATGCTATTTCATACCCAGGCTCATGATGGTAGGTAGGCCTCCTTAGTTAAGCAATAAGGGTGCAGCTAGGAACACTAAGATTCAGGCAGCAGGTTCCAGTATGACTGGTTGGTACTAGTATTTACCAGAATAATATCTGATACATTATTAAAGAAAGTACTGCATGTTTCAAAATCAACTTACAATGATTCCCTTAGCAATCAGTTTACTTCCTCCTGCTTCATCAGTAGCCCGCTCACCCAGTTTTCAGGCTGGCAATGCCACAAGCATTTCCACAGATGTACACTTCTACCTGCAAATCAAATCCTGCAAATCAAATCTGAAAGGTGGCGCCTGAGCTGCTTCATCCTCAGCGACTACTTGACTATAGTTGGAATCAGCAAAGAAACAAACCTTAGGGTGCTTCTAAGCGAGGGTTTCCAAAAATTAGGACTGACCCTGAATGCGGGTGGTACCTCAGATGGTTTGTGATCCTTGAGTGAATAAAAACAGGAAAATGGAGAGAGCAAAGCTGAGCATCAGCTGGCAGCGCTGGTCACTCTCTGCTTCCTGACCAAGGCTCCAGCCGCCATGGCTTCCACTCCACGGTGGACTTACTGTCACACCATAAACCAAAACGAACCTCTTCCCCTCTCTTACGTCTTAAGGAAAATATGGTCCCAACAGTCAGGAAAGCAACTGATGCAGCGTGCCTTACCACAGTCTACTGTGGCCGCCCAATTCCACAAAGCACGCAGTCGTCAGAACCGTCATCGAAGCCTGCTCTTGGCCCTTTCGTTCTTCTGCTCCCTGCCTCCGTTCATACCCACACTCTCAATGTCCCCCCCCTTGATCAGCCACTAAGATTTGGACAGGAGGGGTATAATATCCCATCCCACAGTATTCAGACAAAACCCAAACTCCCCACCCGTGGTAACAACCACACCTGGGGTGTCGTCCCAATGAATCGTCTTGAAAAGGCCCCACCTAGCCCTTGTTAAGGCCCTTTACACATCAGGCAACTGTGTTTGGCTGCTTCCTGCTCCAATGTCAAGTCTTGTCTATCCAAACCTCCTCCACCGGAGACACACTTGCTCTTGATTCCAGCTTCTAAGGTAGTGTTTGTGGCCCTCCACATCAGATCTTCCTGTTTTACGTTTGTCAGGATGAAGGGTCTTCTCCTGTTTATTATTTTTTCAGGCTTATTTATCTTACCCTAGCAGGAGTGCTCCACTAAAGCACAGACCTTAGCCAGCCTCCAGCTACGACAGTGAAATCCCTTTTTGGCTCAAGGTGTCTCTCAGCAAGACTCATTTATGTTAGAGGAAAACGAGGCTTAAAAGAAAAAAAATTAAACAAAGTTCAGCCGGCTTCTCAGTAACCGGGCCAGCAGCGCCCTTTGCTGTGTCTCTTATGGCATGGAATGATCCAGCGTGTGTCTTCCTTCACTTGTCACTGTCCTCGATGACTATGGCTGCTCTTCAGAGCACCTGCCTGGGCTGCTGCCTTTTCCCCAGAACAAAAGTACAACCCTGTTTAACCTCACAGATCCATGAAGTCTGGCCGTCAAGCCCTTTCAGGAAGTTCCACCCTGTTTCCTACTTCACTGGTCAAAATGTTTTACTAAAGATTGCTTAAGAAAGATTACCATACTAGCAGAACCCCCACGACTGCCTCAGCTCTGCACCACAGTGGTTTCCATCTCTGTGGAGATCCTGAGCACCTGGCTGAACACTGGATGAGCATGTGGCCTAATCTTTCTTTTAGGATGGTCGAGGCAAGGCACAATTTCCCAACTTGAACTATGTGTTAAAACTTTCAGTGCACACAGATCTTGGCACTGGGGTGTGTGTGTGTGTGTGTGTGTGTGTGTGTGTGTGTGTGTGTGTGTGAATGGGCATGCACATGCATGTGAGCACATGTATATGCATCTATTGTGATGATCCCAGGCACTGGTATGAACACATCCATATGTATGTGTCGTGAAGACCCTAAGCACTGGTATGTGTATGCATGCCTGTGTATTCATGTGTTATGCCAACCCTAGGCACACAAACATACACACTGGTGTGCACACACACACGTGTGTGCATGCATCTTAACCAGCTCTCCACATGAAGCTAGTGTGAAACCATGGCTGAGCTCCTGCTCTCCAGTGACTGGACTCTAAAGTGACGCTGTCTGTCAGCTCATCCCATACTTTGTTGGTATTTCCTGGGTGCCAATGGCAAGCTAATGTGATCTGTAATCATAATCTCTTGCCAAGTGAACAAGTGGATGATTAATTAGATGACCTTATAGAAGAAATCACATTTTTCCCAAAATTAACACAACGTCACACATTTTGATAAATGCACCACAAGAGTATCTCAGCTTAAGGGGCTGGGAGAAAAAGATTCTCACACTGACACTGATAACAGATGGGTAAATGGCATGGGGATCCAGCAACGTTTGGCTTCTTTACCTGGTTGACTTAGAGGTTATTTAAATTTTTAAACATAAAGTGCAAATATAGTATGTATGACTTGCATAAATAATACAAATATCTTCTCTGGCACAGTAAAAACTTTAGGAGTTTTTGCTTACAAAATTGTGAGACTGAAGATAGTGGAACATGGGATTTTAAAATAAGCTGGCATGCTTTTTATAGTAATTATTTTTTTTAAAAAAAATTAGGACAGTGCTATAGGAAGTGCAGGCAGAAGCATCACTGAGGAACACTTAGGGACCTTAAAAATTCTTTCCACTGCAAAGTCATTTGGAAAAATATAACATTACTATCTCTAATATCAGAGACAGACTGACAGCATTTGTTCTCTGTCGTCCAAACTGTTTACCTTTTTAAATCCCTAAATATCCAAGATTCAATTTTGGACTCAATGCTTACAGAGAAAGGTTTCAGAACGTCTGTGGGGTGCAGGATTGATCCTGCATTACCTTATAAATGAAGATTTTAAGGCCTACCATCGGGTTTTAAATGTATCAACTTTGCCTAGGAGACACTCTTCAATCTATTATGGGAAAAATGTTTTTTATATACCATCAAAATTGATAAAGAAGCACACAGATTTCTTTGTTGGCTTTGTTTTGTTCTTTGAGAAGGACAAGGGCTCACTATGTAGCCAAGGCTGGCTTCAAACTCAGCATCTTCCTTCCTCAGCCTGGAAGTACTAAGATCCAGGTGCCAGCAAGAAATGCATGGATTTGAATGTTCCTTTCTCTCTCTTTTTTCCTTTTGTTGATTTTTGAGTTTGTATTTTAATTGCAACATTTCTCCCTTCTTTTTATTCCGAGAGAGAGAGAGAGAGAGAAAGGAAGGAAAGAAGGAAGAAAGAAAATGCACTGCATGAACAAATTTATCCCTTCCTTTAAAGAGTTTGGTTTCTAGTCAGAGGCCATTAGGCACACTTCAGAAAATCAGGAAGTTGGTTTTCAAACCTCACAGGTAAGGGCCACGAGAGGGGCCTGGAGTCTGCATTTCAAGTACATGCTGTTGAGATTAGAAAGTGAAATGTCTCCCACAGGCTCATACATTTGAACACTTATTCTCCAGCTCCAGCTGTTCCATACAGTAAAAGGTTTTAGAGAAGGGGACTCCGAGGAAGTGGTTATTCAGAGGTGTGTGGGCCTTCAATTCTACAGCACAATTCTGCTTCCAGGCCTTTTCCGCTTTCTGGTCAGCTGGGATGTGAGCAAGCAGCTGCTCCCTCTGCCTCAGAATTCCTGGAGTCCCGGCTTTCCCTTGATTGCTGCCACAAGCCCCTCAAACCCTAAGCCCAATCAAATCTCCCCTCCTGAGTTTGG